CCACATCTATACACCCTAGAACCGCATCTGCACCCTAGAACCGCATCTGCACACTGAGAACCACATCTACACCCTAGAACTGCATCTACACCCTGGGAATTGCATCTACACCCTAGAACCGCATCTACACCCTAGAAACGCATCTACACCCTGAGAACCGCATCTGCACCCTAGAACCGCATCTACACCCTGAGAACCACATCTGCACCCTAGAACCGCATCTATACCCTAGAACCGCATCTACACCCTGGGAATTGCATCTACACCCTAGAACCGCATCTACACCCTAGAAACGCATCTACACCCTGAGAACCACATCTGCACCCTAGAACCGCATCTGCACCCTGAGAACCACATCTACACCCTAGAACCGCATCTATACCCTAGAACCGCATCTACACCCTGAGAACGGCATCTACACCCTAGAACCGCATCTACACCCTAGAACCGCATCTACACCCTAGAACCACATCTGCACCCTGAGAACCGCATCTGCACCCTAGAACCGCATCTATACCCTAGAACCGCATCTACACCCTGAGAACGGCATCTACACCCTAGAACCGCATCTACACCCTGAGAACGGCATCTACACCCTAGAACCGCATCTACACCCTAGAACCGCATCTACACCCTAGAACCGCATCTGCACTCTGAGAACCACATCTGTAGTCCAAGGGGGAAGCTTCCAAGTCACAGCTTACTGAATCAATGGTGGAGATTCTCTCTGTGAATCTGGAATTAAGAGCTACAGGGTTACCACGTACAAACAGAAAAAGACTATGAGAAAGGAAGGGAAAAAATTAATTAATTAATTAATTAAAAAGAGAAAGGCAGGTTGAGGGGTGCCCGGGGAGATGGCTCAGTAGAATAAGCCCTTCCCTGGCAAGTGCAGGGGCCTGAGTTCAATCCCTGGTTCTGCCAATAAATAAATAGATAAATAAATAAATAAATAAAATACAAACGAAAAAGAAAAGAAAAGCAGAGAGAATACCTGTCCTACCGCTTTATCTCTGCAGCATCTTTCTCAGGAGCTCTTTTCTTTCCTGCCTGCTCCTCCTCAGACTCCTCCTTCTCTGAGATTACAAGCTGTATCTTGAAGGCTCACAGCACACACTGTTGTTCTCCCATTGCTCATTTTTCTAGCCCATTTTACCAATGTCCAAGACTTCAACTTCTTTTTTTTTTGCGGAACCAGGGAGTGAACTCAGGCCCTTGCACTTGTCAGAGAAGCACTTATTCTACTGAGCCATCTCCCCAGCCCCAAATTTGGGTTTTTTAAATTTTAATTTTAATTTTTTATTTTTTATTTTTTTCAAGACTTCAACTTCTACCTATGTACCTGTGTATCAAGAACCCAGGCCTCCTGCTCTCCCTTCAGACCGAGGTATTCTCTGGCACTGGATATTTCTATTTGAAGTACCTCAGACCAACCCAAGATGCCCAAGACTGAAGTCATGGTATTCACTACAAGCCTATCTTTTTTCTCTTATCTTGGGACAGCAAAGATGTAGCACCGCTCTACCTACATGAGTCAAAATCTAGGAATTATTCTTGACGCTCATTCCTATTATCCTGTCTATCATCTAATTTTATGAATCTCTCCTCTCTCAAAGCTCTCCACTTCCGTCTCTACTGACATTTCTCTAGGCCACATCCTTCCATTTCTGTCACAGACAACTGCACCAGACTCTGACTGGCTTCCTGTGCCCTCCATGTCCCCATCTGTTCTCGCTGGTCTGAATAACCTTCCAGAAAACAAATCCAACATGACATTCGCATCATCTCCTTCCTGTTTAAAGCTGTCCAGCTGTTCCCCTATTGCTAGAATCAACAAGGAGATCCTTAAAATACTATTTGGGGCCAGCATGGGTTGGCCATCCCCACCTACCTTTCGAGATTTTCCACCTCACCACTGTCCTCCTCTTCTGTGTCCTGCAAGGGTTCTGGAACATTCTACAGTTCCTCTGACCACACAGCCTGTTCCTGTGCTCCCTTTGTTCTGGAACATTCTTTTCCTTTCCCAGCACACTAATTTCATTCTTGATGTTTCAACTCAAATGTTACTTATTTCAGGAATTGCTTTCCACATTTTATTCTAGCTCAGGTCCTTTGTTTTACCCAGACTTTCACAGAACTGTGCTCCTCTGATTTAGAACACTTACACTTGGAATTCCATATTAATTAACATTCATTAGATATTAAAGTAATGTTATGTCTATGAAACCAGGTTCTGGCAGACAACAGACATTTCAAGGTGGGAAGGTGAAAGTAGGCAATTAAGAACCTACTTTGGTTCTTGAATTTTCAATTATTTATTCCAGGCATTGGTAAGAATCGACTAATTTTCTGCTCTTGGATTCCATGTGATACCCTGTTCTCTATAATTCTCTACCCCTCTCTGTAAAGTTTTTTTTTATTTTTGTGCAAACTCATGACTTTGCACTTAACAGGCACTTTGCCGCTGAGCTACATCCCTGGCCCTAGATTTCTATTACTTGCAACAAATGTCCTGGCAAACACAGCAAATGAGAAACTCTGAATGAGTCTGCAGCTTAAACAATAGTTTATTGTGTTTTTTAAAGAAAAACTTTTTTTTTATTTATGTCTTTGGTACAGGGTCAAGTTACACAGCTCTGACTCGTGATCCTCCTGTTTCAGCCTCCCCAGCACTGGGATTACAGCTGTGCACCACCATGCCGGGTCTCAGGCTGCACAGCATGCCCAGGGCAGGGCCGGTATGGCATGAGGTGCCAGGGATCAAACCGGGGTCCTTGCGCTTGCCAGGTCGGCACTTAGACTGCCAAGCTATCTCCCCTGCCTCACTGTGTTCTTTTAAGAAATTGCTAAACAGTCTAATGATGGCTTTACAACTTGCTCTTCTTGTTTTGAGTTTTTTAATCTTTTATTCAAGAGCATGCTTTCTTTTCTTGGAAGTGGCAGGATAATGTGACAATGTCTACAAACAAGAAGGAAGGGAGGTGCCGGGGAGATGGCTCAGTAGAATAAGTGCCTGCCTGGCAAGAGCAAGAAGGAAGGGAGGGAGGGAGGGAGTGAAGAAAGAAAGAAAGAAAGAAAGAAAGAAAGAAAGAAAGAAAGAGAGAGAGAGAGAGAGAGAGAGAGAGAGAGAGAGAGAGAGAGAGAAAGAGAGGAAGAAGGGCCGGCCAAATAACTCAGCAGATTAAAGCACCTGCAAGCATGCGCAGGGGCTGGGGGTTCGATCCCTGAGAACATGCTGAGACAGGCATAGTGGGGCGCACCTGTAATCCCAGCTCTTGGGAGGCTGTAAATAGGTGGATCACTAAAGTCTGACCTAGTAGTGAGACCCTGAACACCCTGTAGACCCTTCCCTAAAATACAGGAAAAAAAAGAGGAAGAAAAGAAAAAGAGAAAGAGAAGGAAAGAAAGTCAAAGCTGGCTTGTCCAGTAAGATCTTCTGGAACCTCTCACGGCACGGCAAGAACTGATGAGGTACAAGTGCTGGGTGAACACACACCTCCACCAACGGTGGCTCGGCCCGCTCTTTTCGGGGATGGCATTTTTTAAGAATCCAGAGGCCTGCACAACTAGATTCTGGGGTGACTTGTGTGGGCTGGTGGAGAGGTGGGACCACACAAACTACCAAACAACACCGTGTACCAGAAAGAGCTTCAGACCTTGGTCTCTCCATCTGTGTGGAGTGGGGTAACAGCGACGGTCTGCACTTCTCAGCTCCACTGTCAAGAAGTCCAAAGAAGGCAGAGATTTTTTAAAGTGTGTTTTTGAAATGAAAGTACAACAGAAATTTAAAATAGCACTAAGAATGTGTTGCTCTTTAAGAACTTCAGCCAAGACACACAAGCAATCACCCCTTCCTGAACATTTATAGAGCAGCTTTTGCGGCCAGAGAGGTGGTACTGCAGGCAGCACGAACAGGATGCAGCCTTTGCTCGGGTGGATCCTGATCAGATGAGCCGCCTTTCAGGACCGAGCCTGGACAGCACCCCCATGGCTTGCTTCGTGCTAGCCACGGACGCTTCACCTCTGATACCGCCTGCCCGCTCTGTCTTAGCCTAGTACACTAGAAGGGAGACGTGTGGGGCGAGCAGGGCCTTAGCGCTGCTCACTGCTAAGACTGGCATGAAGCAGTGCCTAGAACCCAGGAGCTGCTCAAAAGCACTCACTGAAGAGAGGTACCAAGGGCAGGGCTCAGAGTTTAGGGGAAGGTGGCCCACACTGTCCTGGGGGAGTGGCCAGAGAGGAAGAGAGCAAGCAAGCTGTCCACAGAAGCTGACGGTTGGGCTCGTTGGGGAGTGAGCTCTGATTATGGGGTGAAAGAAAGCTGCTAGCTGGCTCCTGACGGCAACAGCTGGATCTAGGATTGTCCTAAGTCCTTATCCGGGAGAAAGCACCCACAGGGCTTGTGCTGTGAACTGCACAGCTCCCCCTGGCCTCGCCCACACTAGCCTCGGTGCCGGATGAGCTTTCCCACCATCCTTCCCATACACAGGGCTGTTTCTGCTGCCCTGTTTGCAGCCGCATTGCGGCTCCTCGGGCTTCAGAATAACCACCTCGATCTCCTCCCCAGAGCCAGCCTGCAGTCACGAGCCCTTCCCCGCTGGGCCTGCTCCTTGCTCACCCTTCTTGGCTGCTTGGCAGCTGCTGCTTCTATGCACTTCCTACCGCACGCCCTTTCTCCTGCTCATGTTTTTCTTCTAGGAACGCCCTTTGCACCTTCTGTCAAAGCTGAGTCCACTTTTCTTCCGAATCCCAAGTGTCTCCAGTTCCCACAGCGGAACCCTCTGCAAGTTCTCCTCGCTGTCCCCACTCTGCCTCCTACCAGGTTGTCTTGGCGCTGCCTTGGCCAGCTCCATTACTTCCTCATGACTGTAAGCCCCCAAGACCTAGAACATGGCTGGGCACCAGGGAGCTGATGCCAAGGGCCTCAAATCTTTCTCAGTCTAGAGCTGCTTAGCACCCCTCCCCACCAAGCCTTGTGACACTTACCTTAGCCTGCATTTGTTTATTTCTCTGACTTCGGAGAAGGGCTTCAGCACCCAGGGCCTTGTTTTTCCTAGTTTCAACTTGTAGTTGCGTCAAGCTCTTCCAAGTAACTCAGCAGTGCAGCCTGCTGCACAGGGAAGCGTCAGCTGGTCTCCAAGGTAACAGACTGCACCACTTCAGCTCAGGGAAGGGAACACCACTGACTGTCCACAACAACCTTTTTCCTCATCACTCACTTGTTCCACCTTCACAAAAATGCTGGAAGCAGGACTGGGAGCTCTTTTCTGTCTCACGAACCCCTGGGTCAGCAAGAAACTACAGTTTATACCAGCAGAGTCCTGGTGCCTGCTGCCTTACTTGTGGTAAGAACCGAAGATACCAGAGCCTGCAACAGGTAGAAAAGGTGGTAACCTTCCTCCTCAGACTCCCTAGGGCAGCAATGGGACAGAGACACCGCAGTGCCATGGTTCACCACCCCCACCCCAGGGTCTCTGAACACACTGCAGGGTGAGGAGGGAGTCTGGGCCCAGCCCATCCACACCAGGCTGACACAGCAGGGAGCCCAGGGACCTCTGAGGTCAGAACAGATGATCTGCCCCAGTGGTTCCTGAAGCCAGGTGCACATCAGAACATTTGGGCTGTCTGCTGAGGACTCATGACACCTGCTCACAGCCAGCAGCCAGGGGACTGTGGGGTAGCGTGGCAATAATAACGATCCTCAGTGCTCACCCAAGGCTGCAGGCCTCCTCAGCCCCTTGTTGTAAAGAGTGAGTAAGCGACAAGTCCCACATCAGTCAGCCTTGTGACTAGGGGACCACCATTTAGCTGCTTTGTTTTGTTTTGTTTTGTTTTGAAATCAGTCCAGGACAATCTCAAATCAGTGTTCACTTTCTGAATCTTGTTTGTAAGTTAGAACACATGTAATCTGTGACAGGCGTTAGGTGCTTAAGCACTGGAGCTGTCAGAAGTAACCGAACTCCTTAAGAGAGAAACTGCTTCTAAACCTCTTGCCATCTGAGTAGAATGCTCCCGGGCTGGGAGCACCATGTACCAATCCGAGGCATCTTGCACTTCACCACGGTCATAAGGCAGCATGGGGCTTGGGGTGATCAGAAAGAAGGGAATCCCGGCCACGACCAACCACTGGCAAGGGCCACTCTGCACACCTTGATGGACGTCATGGGCGGAAGGGGCTGATTAACGCTGAGGTGCCTCTTTGTTTTGTTTTGTTGAGACAGGGTCCCACGATGCAGGGCAGGATGGCCTTGAACCCGTGGCCATGTCCTGCCTCGGCCTCCCGAGTGCTGAGATACCGCTTCTTTGAGGCATGAGAGCCCCATTTTCCTTGATCCCCAGATACACAGCGTTCTAATATCTTACAAGAAGTGAAACCCAACACTGAAAACTGTTCGTGCCTCCTTCCGCTTGCACTCATGCGGCGTACATCCTGGATATTCTGTGCCGTGCGGACAAAGCAGAGCGCGGTATTTTCTATCCTACCAACCAAGAAGACGGCTGTGCGCGCTGCCTTTTCACTTAGCTCCTCCTGGGCTGTGGACCAGGGGGCCCCAGTGGGAGGACGCAGGGCGCAGCAGGAAGCTCCTTCTCCGACCCGAGCTTCTGGGGCGTGGTGATTCATCCACCCAGGAGCGCTTACCTGGTAATACCACCCAAGACATGCTTTGATGTATCTTAACTTGTACTTTCCTCTCCTGCAGTCAAGGAACAAGCATTTTGTTGAGCTAAGAAGCAGCATGAAATCAACGGGTCTTCTTCCTACCTCTGTAAAGGCTGAAGCTAACTAAAAGCTTACGGTGACATGTCTAAGCAGGGGCGGTGAGGAACACGGTTAGTGGCAAGAGGAAAGTGAGAGCACACCAGGGCCCTTTCACCCAAGAGACCGAGGCCCAACTGAAGCTTCAGAAAAAATGGAATTTATTTGCTTAAGTGACAAGTAATTCAAGGCTATTTCTGGCTTCGGAGATGACCTCGACCTGACATGATGTGACACAGAGCTCCCTCGTAGGCACTGCAGGCATGGCTGACACACTGCAGAAGCAGCACCAAGCTCCCTGGACTTAGCGACCTCACGGGAAGAACACTTCTCCAGCAGGCCCAGGCTGGCCTCCTGTCACGCCCCATGCTCACTCACGGGCCAACCGTTACCGCCCTGACTGGCCAGGCCCAGCATCTGTGTCCAGTTCTGGAGAGAGAAGCTGAAATCAGCCCTATGACGTCATCTCGGCTGAGGCAGGAAGCTTTCTAGAAGAAAAAGTTTACATCTGTTGTATTAACCAGAGACGGAGAAGACACAGACACTAATATCTCTGGAGGGAAGACAAAGAGGGGGAGTATTTTCCTATATGAATGGAGAACAAAATATTAGAGATGTTAAGCTGACAGGGTGGAGAAGCCCACTCAAGGGCTGGCAGTAGCACCATGGGGAGAACACAAGAGCCAAGAAACAGGGCCCCGGGTGCCGGGTCAGTCCACAGTAGAGGCGATCCCACCCCAGTGGCCCAGCCAGGGTCAGCTCCTGCACATTTGGACGGGACCCGGGATGTCTATAGCAATGTGCAGACCAACGGCAGTGACATACGAGCCAGGGACACAGCCTGGGGCAATCCGATCATCTCTAAGTGTCCAACCCATATGATGGAAGGGATCTGGTTGAGTTTTAAGGGCATGAGAGGAAGGTGGAGAGGAGCCTGCCCGTGGAAATTTCCTGAGGTGCTCAAGTCCTGAAATCCCATCAGTCTGAGGGGCCTCATTGGCTTCACAGTTTACGGGTATGTGCCCTGCAAAGTGCCACTCGACAGCGGCTGCAAAGACAGCGCAGGGGTGCGAACGGCACAGAGGAGGACTGAACAAGCAACCTTTTCTGGTGCATAGTTTTTAGGGTTTCAGCAAGGTGGACAACATTCGCAAGCTGTTTCTAAGTAGGGGGTACCTTTGATGGCTCTTTGCATTCCACACCAACATGAAGCCAACCACAGATTTAGCCTCATGTGAGAGCCAAGGAATCATGCAAGTGGGACAAGCTATTTTTATTTCCTTCGGACTAGCCAACCCGGCAACATGCGACAGCAGGCATCCTAGATCTGAAGTGAGGAATCCCGGGTTTAAAATCCTGCTTCACCAACTACTAGTTATAGAACTGTGGGTAGGCTGTTCACCTTTTTGATCTTAAGTTTTCTAGTAAGTAAAATATCACCTTTTACTACACAAAGGATTAGGATGACACAGCAAAGCATGTAACACACACATTTAAATGTTCAGTTTTTTTTCCTAAACTACTTGAATACCACCATTAACCACAGTACTTTTAAAAATATGAATTCCCTTAACAGAGTAGTTGATTCGCTTCAGTTAGAATGCCAGGTTATTTTGATACTTGGGAAGATTTTGTAATCTCAGGTCTAAATTTAAAGCAGCATTTGAAATGGCAAAAACTTGGAAATAAGTTGGCTGTCGTAATACAAGCCTGTAATTCCACCGCTAGAGAGGCTGAGGCAGGAGGATCGCCCACAGCTAGAGACCAGTATGGGCTACACAGTCCCTTCAAGGCCAGCCCAAGCTACATAGGGAGGCCCTGTTTCAAAAGACCGAAACAATTGGGAAGCAATACCAAAAATTATTTTCTTTGACTGGTTCTTCAACTGTATTTCCACTGGTCATAGAAAACAAGGCAATATAAAGGGGCAAGAATTTTTTTACTTTAAGAACATAGCTGAGTTGTCTAGAACAACTAACTACTTTAACAACAGGAGAAGGCGTGCTGGAGTTAGGACAGTGTTTATGACTGACTTACCCTGACATCTAAGATAATAAATGGGGATTGATTCAACAGTGAACAAATGTAATTGGCAACATTCACTCAAGTGTCTGAAAGTGGCCAACTGGGGTAGCCGCATCTAACATACCAAATCTCTGAGCCGTTTCCTTTTAGAAGTAATTAAGACACCCTGGCAGGACCAGGGCTTTGCAAGACAGCACCATCCAGAGCACCCGTGTCGGAGAGGCCCAGAGCGTGCTCGGGTCAGCGCGCTCGCTTCAGTATACTGCGAATTCAGCAGCAGAAGAGGTGGAGTCCAGTGAAACTGGCCTCATAGAGCCGAATATGGGTGACGTGGCCACACTTCTGAAGGCTGGTCTAGGCGAGCCTCTGCCTTCAGGGAAAATACTACTGAAATTTATTTCCAGGAAATAGGATTCCATAATTTTCCTTTGTAACCTAGCCCTGAAGTTAACTTTTGATAATTCAATGTGTAAAGCACTGCACCAGGTTTCTCAGGGACGCAACGTGAGAGCGACACTCCTTGTAATCATTTGCAATTAGTCACAGCCATCTAGCAAGGGTGCTACAACAGCTGAGTGCTGCCTGTGTGTCCTCACCTCACTCGGAAGGACCCTACGTGGCGGGAGCAAGCACGAGCTCCAGGCAGCAGACGAGGCACCAAACGCCGGCTCCGCAGGCCTGCCGCTCCTCGGGTGGAGGCTCCCCTGCCAAGGACACTCCTCCTATGCCGAGTGCTCCGCTGGGCTCTTGCTGTGACTGGGAAAATCAGTAAGCTTTAGGAGGCCTCAAGTTCTTCATCTGAAAATGGACACGCTTGACATGCTCTTGCAGATTGATTTTTGAGGCAGGTCTCGCCCTGCAGTTCAGGCTGCCTTGGACTCACCTTTGTAGCCCACACTGGTCTTGAATTCCCAAGATCCTCCTGCCTCAGCCTCCCAAGTGCTGGGACTACAGGTGGGCACCACCATGCCCTGTCGTCCAACTCTAAAAATATGAGCCTCATCAAAAGTCTCTTCTCAAAATCTAATTTTAGGTGATCTTAGGCTGTCATCTGAATGAACTGGGAATGATACACAAAAACCTTGAACAATGACTGAAAAAGCCATTCTACAGTGTCTTCTCCTAGAAGGGGGACCAAAACACTAAAAAACCCTGAAGTTACCCTTTCTATCTTCAATGCTATTTATAAATATCTGCCTTCATTTTGTTGCTGGGTTAATATGACCCAAGAGCTGACTCTGCACAAAAGAATCCATCCCTCTAAGCTTGGTGTTTCTCCTGCCGCCAGACGTTGGCTAGAAGAAACAGAAGACTAAGTCAAAACCACAGTATTTTAAACCCCATATTGCCATTTCCTAAGGAATTACCAAACAAAAGGAGAAAGTCACCCAGCCCTCGCAAAGCTCAGAATGACTGCCATCACAATTCCCAGTTGACCTGTTAATGTTTATGCAGGGAAAAAACAAATCCTTCAGGACGTCTAATCCTAGCAACCAACCAGCAGGATGTGTGGGTGGTGCGAAGGCAGTAGGGCACTGGAAGACCCAGAGGCCAAGAGTACCCAGTGTTTACTGGATTTTCACCCCAAGCCCCCTGAGGGATGTGGAAAGGGCCCTATGGAGAAGCAGCAGCAGCAAAGGTATTTACTGGTTTCTGTCAGGCTGGCTGACACCCCAGAAAGAGCGACAGGGAACCTGTAAGGGAGCACGGGGACAAGAGGACAGACCAAGGGTCTCTGCACTGCCCGACCTACACGTTAAGGTTTCGGAGGTAAAGACCCTCGGCCTCCCCCCTGCCTGTATAAGGCAGAGAGATGAAAGCAAAGACGACGAGGCGCAGCTCAGGGCTCTGGCTCAGGTTCGGCTCATGGGCGCACGCGGCAGACGAGGCACACAGACATCTTCTGCTGCTAAGAGACGCTTATTAGCAAGCCAGGCTATGCCACACCTGGACTGTGAACGGTGCTCTTCCCAGGGCTGCGCTAGGAGTGCGAGGGGAAGGAGGCAGGTCCCCGCTGCAGCGCAGCGCTACCAGAACCAACCACGAGGCGTGGCCATGCTGCTGCGGGAAGTGCGAGGCCTCGGCAAGAAACCGACTCGTGAAATCCAAGTTACTGCAAAGTAATAGAAAGAAGCCTTTTGAGTTGCTTTAGTAGACAATTTATTTTGATAAACTTGCTCAATAACAAAAATACAAGTGAAGAAAATTATGTTCATTTTATACAGTTGTATTAACAATTTGTTTTGAAATTATTAATTGAAAATGTTATAACCAATTAGAAAACAATTCTTAATAAAGTTGGGATAATATGCAGACCTTGATCACAGACTTTAAAACTTCTTGAGGCGACACAACGTAAAGTTCTGCGCAGGAAGTTCTCCCTATGCAGGCCACTTTTTTCCTTCACGTATTTTTATCCTTCAAAAACTTTCTGAATGACAGCCGTTTTGAAATAGATCAAAGTGGGTTGTTAACAGTTACTACCATCAGAGTAACTTGAGGCTCGTAGTCTTTTAATGAAGACAAAAATAAATGCAACATGTTCTTCCCTTGAAGCCCATGATGCAAAATAATAGCTAAGTATATATCCGAAGTTAGTTTTCAATACTTTTGGGGGGCTTTTTCTCTAAGTCAACAGATTGTTTGTCACCAGGACTATTTATTATTTCACTTAAACAGATAAAACAGTGAATTCAGAGAACAAGTGGAGATATCAAAGCTTTAGGCAAAAGAGTAAAAACCAATGAAGTGTTTTGGTCATCTAGAACATTAAGAAAGACATTTTGAAAACAAAACAAATAAAGAAAAGCATTTGGAGGAGGTGGAAGACTCAGAAGCACACACACTGACAACACAGAACATGGATTACCTTTGGAAAGAATTGTACTGAAATGTTTGCTTTTAATGAACTGAAGATTTTTACTGTTTACAGATATTTAGGCATGTTCAATAGGAGCTTCCAAAAATTTCAAACTAGTTCAGTCTTGTGCAAATAAAACCTAAAAATAGTTTTCAGCAGATTTTACAGTGATATTCTTAGGTATGAGAAGAACGCACACTCTAAAAACAAGGTACCAGACAAAAGTTTTGACAAATGATTGCACCATAAAACAGTGTTTTATATACAGTTTACAAGATATGTTTCCTGCTATAAATTAATACTGTACTACATAGTACGTATAGTGACCTTTTTAAACGCAACCTGACAGTTGGCTATCTTTTCACTTACAGGATTTACAGAAATTTGTGTGAATGAGTTGATTTTAATGTTCGGTCTCCAAAAGCACAAAGACTTGTCCTCACGTACTACTGCTACCTGGGTCGGTCTCAGTCCTGGGCTGGAGGGCTGAACGATGAAGGGACTTCCCATGCCGGCCCTTCGCACACTGGACCTCCAGGAGTGATGGAAGTGAAGACAACAGAATGGTGCGGGTAACAGGTATCAGTAAAACCTTAGATTTTGTAGTCTTACACGCAATACCACTGTAAGTGAAAGAAGTAAACAGTGGGGAAATTCTTAGCAGCTGAGAAACTTTCTCTCCCCATGCTTATGATCCAGTTAAAAATATTTTGAGAAACTATTTACAATCCATTCCATCCTTTGGAAGAGAAAAGCTCTTGGTCGTACCCTAAATTCACGTGAGCCATACTTTGCAAGCACTCATCTCAGTGGCACAGTGACGACGACCAGAGCTTTCCTGCAGAGTGACCCATCTGGTGGGGGACCAGAGGAGTCCAACAGAGCTGCAATCCCAAATGGCCACGGAACACATCTGGTGGAGGCTAAGAATTCACTAGATGTCATGATACCCAGGGAAGCATCTTCCTTGGATTTTCCAAGTTTGTTTTTTTTTTTTAAACCTGGGGAAGGAAAAGTGTAACATCCTCCTCAAACACTCAAGGAATGCACCAGAGGGCAGTTGGAATCCTCCCCAAACTCCCCAGTGAGCTGAAACATGGGTTTTTACAATAGAATACTGTTGGATTTACACTTCCAGCCAGATCTGTGAATATCAACAAGCCAGTGTGAAACACATGAAGCTCTTCCAGGTCACACTGTGAGGGTCTGAGGAGGGAGCCCCATCCTCCAAGAAACTGTTCTATAATTTGTAATTTACTTAGTGACAGGGACATCTGGGTTGTCATTTCACTTTTGAAGAGAAAAACTGCAGCTCCATTACCACAAAACACCCTCCTGCCCATGTTTTAAACAGGAGATTATCTATAGTGTTCACCAGAAAAAAACCAGCTAAGCACTGACATGAAGGCGTGGCAATGTGGAGAGGAGAAGCGCTGCGTTTACGACTCTGGGTCCCCAGACGAGCTGTGAGGCTTCTTAAGGGAAAACTTAAAGCTGTGGGGTTAGTGTAGCCTTTAATGTAAATGCAAAATCATTAGCTTTTCACAAACAAAGGCATATAGCATAGAAAGAAATACTGTATTGCTCAAGTATTTGGTAAAGATATATTAATAATGCTTACAGGTGAAAAAAATTTTTTATGGCAGAGTGAAATTAGTATAAATAGCCAAAACAGCCAGGTATTTACTAGTGAACTTTGTAGTTACGTAAAGTTGTGTGCTTGAACATATAAAATGCGTTATTAATGTAACAGGCCCAAGCCAGTAGAAAAAAAGAATCTCTATATATTAGACAACAGTTGCCAATAATTTAAATATAGCATCAGATTCCTCAAATTATAAGGTTTGACATGATCTTACCTTCTACTATCATATACAAATAAATTAACCCTAGAAATTTTTAGCTTAACTTAAAATTGCACCTAGAAAGGTATGGAATTATTTGTACCTATTACAAAAACCTGTTAAAATCAAGGCTGCTACGAAGAATGAGGTACACTGAAGACGCCCCCCACTACGCAGCCTTCAGATAAATGGCTTGTTTTCTACTGAGTTCTAGGTTTGCACACCACAGTGTTTCGCTAGCAAAGCATCCAGAATTCTCTTCCAAGAACGGCTTGCATGTGTGCATATGTAAATGTACACACATACACGCGCACACACACACATATATACACACGGTATACGGCATCAGCAAAATATATATATTATATATATTTATATAAATATAAGGAAGATTTCCCCCGCCCGCCCCAAACAACATGTTTTTAGGGTTTGAGTTCTGTCTTCTTGGTTTGTACACAGAAATTAGGGAACTTCAGAATTTTTACATATATTTTAGCCAACAAGTTTTGATCTACCGGCTTCTTGTTACAGCAATGCAAAGACAATGCGTTCTGGCACCAAGGCTTGCGCCACGGCAAGGACGCTGCGAGCGCTCACTCCTTCGGCGGCGAGGACCGCCCCCCACGCACCTCTCTTGCATCCCCTCTGGTCCACCTTGATGCATAAATACTTAAGACTTTTTTCCCCTCAAACGAATCGTTAGACATTCAAATGGAACAACAGAGTCACGCAGGGCCACGTGCTTTTCTGTGCAACGCGTTCTCCGTCACTGGGCTGCTATCACAGTGCAGACTGCCTGCCTGAATATGCTCAGGAGATTTAGTCAATATTGTCTGTATTTGGTTATGGAAAAGGCTCTCCTCATTTTTTTTAAAATCCAAAGTGCATAGTGAGAACAAATCAAATAATTATTTTCTTTTCAGCATCAGTTTCATCTAAGCATCTTCCTACAAGATTGCTCAGACAGCTTGTCTTTGTCCTCCCACCCTCTTAAAAAAAAAAAAAAAAAAAAAAAAAGTCAAGCAGTCTAGACATTCATCAGCCTGGTAAACAAACTTTGCCAGCAAATAGAAGTCCTACTATTGTAAAGAAAATTGATAAGACAAAAAGTACATATGACGACCCAACTACTGTGTTGTTGGGTAATTTATAAGGTTGACCTCCGACTTCATTGATGTAAAATCCTATTGGAAATATTAGGGCAGCCATACAGAAAAGGATCACTGAAAAACAAACCAAAACACAACATTAGTAACATGGTTTGGTGATTTTAAAAGCAAAAGAAGTTTATAGGAGGTATTGTGGGCTGATAACAAGGTTAAACCTGTCACACTATGGACCGTTTGTCAAAAGATCTGCATGGATCCAGGTCACATGACATCACTGACACTTAACTGAATGTAACAAAAGTCGGGCTAGTCCTGGTAAGGATCATTTTGCGTTATCAGCATTGGGAAAAGTCAATCCTATCAGGTATTCATGTACAGCATGCATAACCCTAAGACTCCTGACTAGAACCAATATTTCATTCTGGTCCGCTACACAGAGGGCTCTAGTTCCTTTCTGAAAACGGGAAATATCAGAGGACAGAAAACTTTCAAATTCTCAGTACAGTGCCAGGTTGACAGGAAGTAACAAATAAATGTTGCACACTATTATCATCATAGTTGTTCTTTTCTTTTTTACTGGGGATTGAACTCAAGAGTCTTTTGCATGCTGGACAAGCATTCTACAACTGAACTACATCCCCAGACCTCATAGTTGTTATTCTACCAATTGTCTTTTTGCTATTTGTCATCAATAATTTTTAAAAATGTACATAAAAATAAGTCTCTTTTAGTTTTGGAGACAGGGTTTCACTATGTAGCTTAGGCTGGCCTCCAACTCCAGCTCCTCCTGCCTCAGCCTCCTGCACGCTGGAATTACAGATGTGCACCACCATACCTAGCTAGTGTCATTTACTGTACTCTCAAGTAGCTAGAAGAAAAAAATATTCGACCTTTGGGATGATGATTAGCGAAGTGACAGTCATTATCTCTTATCGCCTCACGTTCTTGAATACATGGAAATGTTATAATGTAAGGGTAAGATCTACTATTTACTAAAATGATTCCAGAAAAGTATCAGTGTGTGGACACAGGCAATTCCACAGTCTAATCCCTTAGCAAAAAGTGTGTCACTCCGTGTTACTGAAGAAATGCTCTTCTCAGGAAACAAAAATTACTAAAGATAGATTAGCTTTCCTAAGAAAGTATTTTTGGCTTTTGAAGACATATTGTTCAAATATTCATAATCCTTCACATTTCTTTGGAGCAAAAGTATTCCCTCAGTATAGATTTCTAGTCACTGTGTATGAAGAGGTGAAGCTTTGTTATTAGTTTAATTTGAAATCATTTCAAATTAAACCTATCGTAGGAATATGGGCAGAACTCGGGATAAACATGTTAGCTGACACTGCCTGTACATCTTCATGCGTGCATTAATCAGTCAGTGGAATTTAACACAAGAACTCTTAGAGAGCCTATTATAAATCCTTTCCTAGATGGAATGCCATCAATATATTAAAAGGCAACATTTATTTAAATAATATACCATTTAAAAAATATACCATTCAATCCCTGGTTCCGCCAAAAACAAAACAAAACAAAACAAAACAAAACAAAACAAAACAAAACAAAACAAACCAGCATTCTGCTTTGCAACATTTAGGTAGATCTTATGTTATACATAGGTAATATTTCATTTTGGGCAAAATGATCCAAAAATTACATAAATGACTTGGAGTCTTCCTGATAACTATTACAGAACAAATAAAACATTCAGGTATTAAATTTTAACAGGGTTTGGCCTTTCTGCTGTTCTGTCAGCAACAACTTTATGAGTGTCAATGCCCACTTCTCAGAGCTGTAACTGTAATGGCTCTTAAGGCTTTAATACAGTTTGTTGACTAAAATACAACTAAAATCCAGGTAGCTACAGACAAATGAATTTTTTAAAAAAGGGAGGCCAGGCATGAAGTAATCCCAGCACTCTGGGATGCTCAGGCAGGAAGATCACAAGTTTGAGCCCGGCCTGGGCAACTTAGTGAGACCTTGTCTCAAAATAGAAAATAAAAAAGGACACAGGGATGTGGCTCAGTGCAATCCAGGGATTAAACCTGGGTTCAATCTCTAGTGTAACAATAAAATAACTCTTTGAAACACTACAGTCCTTTAGAAGAAAACACTAAAGAGATATACATTAAATTTGTTCATTCTGTCAATTGTGTATGTGAGCAACAAGTTTATTTTTAACTGTAAAATCAAGATCTAATGTGGAATACTTATTTAGTGACTGTAGTTAGAATTTAATATTCTCAAGAAATTTAGAAAAAATCCAAATTGGTTAGAAAAGTCGAATCGATGTTATGTAAGGAATGAACTCCTATTCAAACACTGGTTTTAGATCCTGGGAATTACATGCTCTTTACTTCCTGGGGACCAGCTTTGATGGAGACGGCTGGCTACTTACAATGGAACTGTGCAGATACAGTACTTGAGCTCTTGAAATAGTACTAACACTGGCATGTGTCACCTCAGGAAGTTAGCAGAGAAGTAACTCCCTGTCTGCTGTGGCACAGGGTCTTTGGTGCTAGGTGAGAAATCAGCCATGCTGGTAGATGTGGCACGACGCTAGCAGCGAAGGCAAAGCAGGCCCTAAAGAAGAGAACTCATTTCCATTTTTTGCCTGTACCTCCTCAGTGCACACAGCCATGTGAGCTGCCCTCAAGTTATTATACAAAGTGCAGCCCAACTGGAATATGTACAATAAAGGAGATCTTCAAGGGCATCACTAGGAGGAACTCAATTCCTCTCAGAACTGTCAACCCCAAAGACTAGCTCTGATAACAAAAACAGTATTTAAGGAAATGAAGAAGAATAAGACAGCAAAAATCATAATAGTGTAGAAATGCACATGTACGTGTAGTAGGAGACACACAGATGGATGCGTGTGTTCTCTACGTGGGACACGTCTAGTGGGCAATTTCATAAGTAGGGTTCCTCCCGGGGAGAGCAGGAACACTACTGCAGAGTAGACAGTCAGCATCTCCACATTCGGAGGAACTGCAGGGCTCAGCATACCCGGGTGCAATGGGTGAGCCTCGCCCTGGGGAAGCCACCTTTGTCAGCTGAGTGTCATAAACTAGGTTAGCAGCGATTAGATGGCGGGTGACCAAGCTCGGTGACCCTTGACGTTGTGCGCCACGTACACGTCCTGCTTCTAAAAATCAGCTTAACTAAAATACAAAAATGTGCACATTTGGGACTGATTGTACACATGTAAATACTTCCTGCTGAAGGAGGATGCACTACACAGATAACCCTACTCCTCACTCGCCCTGGGGCAGGTGAACCAGGGGCTTGTGTAAGAGTCTTTACACATGCTTTGCCTCAGACAACTCTGCTAAATCGCAGTTTAGATTTCTGTATTCAGAGCATCTGCGCTCTCAAATTCCAACTGAATGCAGACCCGAAACCCTTTTCTGTTATTACTCCTATTCAGGTGAGCGACACGTCTGTGAATGGAAGACACAGAATCCGCCTCTTCGAGCTCCTCACCACCCCTCAGCTGCCGGGCTCTGCAACAGCCTACGCCCTTACGCTCTAGGGGAGAGCTGGCTTGGAGGTCTCCTCAACGGAGGAAACGACCGACTTGTTTCGCATCGCTTAACAAGGGGCGGAAGCTTTTTATATCAAATGCAATTTGCTCAATCTAAATTTTAAAACTAAGGGAGTATAGAGAGAAAAAAAAGAATGAGAAACAGACATGAAAGAGAAAGTTTCATGGAAAGCTAGCTAGAAACAGAGACCCAGAAGGGAATTTTACTATCCTACAGCCTTAAAGATAAGCTGCGTTTTAACATTAACAGGGATAATGAGCTCATATGCTAATCACACTAGTTCTAAATAAACATTTCAAGTGAAAGTAAGCAGTGTTGTAATACCCAGTGTTAGAAACTTAGGCAAACAGGACCCTTTGGAGACCCTGGATTGGAAGCTAGGTTTTGCTCTGGGCGGCCCAGGCACCTCATCCCATCTCGAGAGCAGCCTTCTCCAGGGGCACCCTTTGGGGCAGACAGTTCTGTGCTGTGGGGAGCCGCCTGGCACACGCAGAGTGCTTAGCAAGACTGTCTGCTGCCTCCCCACATGAAGGTGGGCAGCAACAGCTATTACTATCAGAAAGTGTGTATGGTCAAATGTCCCTCCCAAAATTATAGAAATATCTTTTCTTTGTGCATTTAAGTTTTTGTTTAACATGGGATAAGCTTCTGATGTGTTTTGAAATTAAACCAATTTTGCAAAGTATAAGACACTGTATAATAGATAAATTTATCATGCCATTGGGGGTAGAGCAGTAAGAAATGTTGATAAATAATTAAATAACCAAATATGTTGTTGATTCTTCAATAGTCATACAGCAATACACAACAGAAACTCAAAATTATATTAAATAGCAACTCACCACCTTCACATAATTTATATTTTTAATATTTTTTCTAGATTTATCTTTATTTTGATAGAAGATACCAATACCTTCATGTAGACTGTTAGTGATAGCTCCTGAGTCACAAACCTGAAATAACTTATGTCACAATGTGATAAAAAATAAGATTCATTAAAATAGCAATTCATACAAAGCAATTAAACTGTGGATGCTCTGGTCTTGCAGGAAGGTTTGAAGCACGGATGGGGCTGGGAGTTTATCTCTCGGCACATGCAAAGTGGCGCTCTCTGGTGGCCAGCCGTCCTTGTTACTGATCTTGGCTCTTCGCAGGCACAGCAGGCGTACCTTCTAGAGAATGCAGAAGCTCGTGCTACGTGCTACTTACTTCCAGTGAATGCTATCCAGCGCGCGTACTTTGTAGCTTCTCTTCGCCAGTGGGAAGCCACCAGCAAGCCACATGTGACAGTCAGTGAAATGATTCCCATGATGATAAAAAACAGTGTGGTGACCCACTCGGGGGGCAGCCGGGGAGGGATGCATGTCCGATCGCGTCCGTGGATGGTTTGACACTGTCGCACTAGGCCCACAGTCAGTGCTCCTGGGAAGATGCAAAAGGTGGCAACAGTTTAGTGGGGCTCACACACTCAGAATTTCCCACCATCACCTCTGTCTTTATCTTTACATCTTCTGTTTGCGGGTCATTCAAGAGCTTAACTCCCAAGTCCCACTCTAAAGCATGCTGCTGTCACTCATCCTGTAGCAATACCTGGCACAGGATACACAGTGAACTTCGAGGACAAAACGAGCCCCCAAACCTCACAGAAGCCATTAAAGCAGGTAAAAGGTAGTTAATCGAGTTACGCATTAAACAAACACCTTTCTTCCGGGCACTTCTGTCTGGCACTGCTCCAGACTCCAGACAGGGAGCAGGGAATAAGACAGCGGAGGCGCCTGCCCTCTGGGACTTGTACACTAACAGGAGCTGTGACATTTCTGTTCTCAGACTCAAGGCTCACTGTGTAGTACTTTTGGTTGAACTGAAAAACTTGAGACACGTCTAGTCACAATCTATAAATAAAATTAAATAACAGATTAAACACTAGAAGTGATGTTCATCAAAGTTAAAGGCTTCAGCTCACCAATTTTTATACAGTATACAAATAAATGTTCATGTAATTCCTGGCATGCTTCCACAGAAAAGCAGAGGCAAATGACAAGGATAATTTTTTAAAGCCCCCACCCCACCAGGGTATTTCATTAACACAAAAGACTTTTGTAAAAAGACATCAAGTGCTACATTCCTTGGTCAAACCCCAGGACCTAGGCCTGCTATGGGCCTCAGTGGCACAGCTCTGGCCTGGCATGCGCCGCGCCCTGGCTGTGACCTGTAGCACCACAAGAGAAAATCAGCAGCCTAAGGAACCTGTCTGTGAAACAGGTGAATTAGTTTACAGAAACCTACATCAAGAAAGTAAAAAGTGTTCTCTCCTATTTCTCCATAAGAAGAATAAACTATAAGAGGAACTACAGAGGAGAAAATAGCTAGCCAAAAGTTCAAGTGCAGAAATTTCTGGAACCACTGACTCGCACCTGCATTGTGGGAGAGGGGCATCCTAACTGGCCCCACATTACCCTTTCAATATAAACACAAATTAAAAAAAATAAAGACGCTGACATCGACATCAACGCACCCGCCATGAACACGTGCTTTCTCTCGAGTCAGCCAGAGCAATCCTGGCATCGCTTGGGCCGCAGAGCAGCGACCTGAGCCAGACCCGTCGGTCTAGATGTCATGCACGCCCGCCAGGCCACCGGGGGTCTGCTCGTGTCACCTGCATCTTGCCACTGACGCGTTCTTAGAAATGAAGGTGTGTTCAAAGATTGTGAAGCAAGAAATCAGACCTGTTCTCAAAATTACATCCTTTTTCCCTCTTCATGTGAGATCTGACCATAACTGTGAGTGAAACAAGCTGAACTTTGTCTCCCAAACATCTAATAATCAGGCAACGCGGCGACACCAGCACAGGTCTAAGCAGCATTACAGCTACCGGGCTGTCGGGCAGGATGGAGGACAGTGGGACACAGCGAGCAGATCTTCACAGCTCTGCCGGCCACTACGGCCCCGCCTGCTGCTCAGAGCCGAGTACCTTCGTAGGCCAAAGACAGGTATGCCAAGTGCAAATACTGGCTATTTTTACTAATCGTTCAAGTTGCGTAGTAAGTGCCTGAAAGTCAAAGAGGTAAACAGCACTAGGGAGCTGTAAACTTGTTCTCAAACTGAAACACTAAAGTTCCCTTCAAGAGATTACTTGAGAGGAAGGAATGTCTTATCATGATAATACATTTATTGTAATTTTGCAAATAAAGAAGGCATTCATAGCAGTGCCTCAGAATTCTCAACAGGAAATAGCCCTGATCATTCAGGAAAGACTTGCAACAAATTATTCTCTTAGTCACTATTCGGCTCTAAAAGCCGTAATTGCTGTAAGACTACACAATGAAAGGCCCGCTGACAAAATGCAGTACTGGAGACTCCTATTGCAGAAGCAACTTTTTTCATAGCATACAAATAAAGTTCCACTGGTAACGATATAATATCTGCCAGACTTGGTTTACATTTGAGATGTTTGGCTGGCAAATATTTAAAACTGTAGGGGGGCCCCTGAGAGAGAGGTCAGCAAAGCACCTGCCTGGCCAGTGAAAAGACCTGGGTTTGATCCCCAATACTGCATGCCGTGCCAGCGCTGCACCGAGCCGGCACCCACAACCGGGCATGGTGGCACACGCTTGTGATCCTAGCGCTGAGGAGGCTGAGACAGGAGGATCGCTACGCGTCCAAGCTGTGTAGTAAGACCTTGTACCAAATACATAAATAAATAAAAAAGATAAAAAGAAAATATTGCAGGGCTGGGGAAAGAGCTCGATGATCTATCTAGTTGTCTGCCTGGCAAGTACAAGGGCCCAGTTTGATCCCGGGTAGGCTGAGACAGGAGGATCACTTAGAGTTGGAGCTATGTAGTGAGACACTATACCAATGTTTTAAAAAATCTTTTTTATACTGTAGATTAAATCATAATTAAAATAGTTCTCCTTGCAATTACTGAGTGTCCTTACATTGTTTTTCTCTCCTAGGTTATGCACATGAGGAGGAAACATTAAGGATGAAGCTTAACCTTCTGTCTGTAAGCTCACTAAACAGGTTTGCTTTCTTCTTCCTTTCCTGCCTGATGTGTCATTCTAAATGACTATACACAGAACAAGTCAGGAAGTGAAAAGTACAGGGATACCTTTTACAAACCAACTGGAAATAACCTGACAGATGTTTGGGTTTGAACAAACTACGTTCCATATTTACAAAATTCCTTTTCACAACAAATCAAGATGAAATATTCAGAAGGATTTTTTTTTTTTTTTTTTTTTTTTTTGCTCCGAATGCCTTCAGGGCAGGTTTGGCTGGCTTGAGTTGTGGGGATGAACCACAGCAACCTGAGTCTCACTGCTTTGTTGAAGCAGCCACTTAAAGAGCTGAGCTAAGGGGCAGGCCCCCAAATTAAATATTCAGCAGTTCTGTCCTGAAGGGACAGGAGAGCTAATTCTAACTGGCAACCAGAAGGTACACTGCAAAGCAGAGTATCAATACACAGAATGTTTTACTGCGGGCTAGGAAGGGGGCCTAATAGTACAGCCCGTGCTTAGCACCTGCTGGGGCCTGGGCTTGATCCCTAGCAGCGCCCTTCCCTCGCACGAGGGCCAGTCATGCTCAGCATTACTGCAGCAGTCAGATACTCCACAACTAATATCCTACTTTCAGCAAGAACAGACTTTACTTAAATAACTGGAAAAAAACCTAGAAAACTTTTTAATGGTCAAGATTTGTTATAATTTATTTTCTACAGTAAGACTCCTAAATCAGCAAAGCTTGCACCCTCGCTATGCACTTCCTTAAGCTAACGGAGAAGCCTGGAGGGCAGATGCGCTGCCCCTAACCTTGTCAATCCAGGCTGCCCTGGTGCCCGTGCCCTCTGTGTCTGCCGCAGACTGAAATGCATCTCTTTGACAGCCAAGATCTTTTAATTCAAATTTTCTTATCACACTTGTACCACAGAATCCGGATCCCACTATGTAGTCCAGGCTGGCCTTGAACTCACTATGTAGTCCAGGCTGGCCTTGAACTTGTGGCAATCCTCCTGACCCAGCCTCTCGAGTTCTGGGATTACAGATGTGCATACCCTTGACCATAAAGGTAAATTTTTTCTTTTTTATTTGTGTGTGTGATAGATATTGAATCCAGACCCTTACACAAAGCCCAAAAGATAACTTCTCTTTACCTAGAACAGAGTATGAACTTTTCAGTGACATTAACGATGCCTTCTACTTCTTTGGAAGCCCCCAAAACGGCCTATAGCAGTGAATATGAAACGGGAATTAAAAAGCACTTGATGAACTGAAATGAATTAAAAACAAGCTACATTTAAAACTGCATAGTGGGGCTGGTGAGTTGGCTCAGTGGTCTAAAGCACCTACTTAGAACAAGCTTAGCAAAGCACAAGGACTGCAGTTCAATCCCCCAGCACCACATGCCAGCCAGCCCCGCCCCCTGGTGGGCTGAGCTGGCCACACACACACACACACACACACAAATAAAAAATAAAAAAAAAATAAAAAAACTGCATAGTGCTGAATAAGCTGTCTGCAGAACTCTCTTTGTCAGTGAGGGCTTCTGCAGCTCACAGGCTCAGCCATTCACTGGGCTGTCTTAGCCAAGGGGTCCTGTGCCTCGTGAAGGGCCCAATAACTCCATTCGCCAAACACCAGCCTATCTCTACTCTGCAGCTGTTCCCAGGCAACCAGCCCAGCTAAATAAAAGACTGACCACATCAGAAAGAAGAAATCAAAGTAGAAGCTACAGCATCCCAGGGCTCCCAGGGTCTCTCCCGTGTTACCACGCACAAAAGGAAAAGTCGCAATGGTGTTACCCACTAAACAGGGTGTCCTATCTAAAGCAGCTTTTGGTACCAATCGTCTGTAGAGCTAGACCTTCTGAAATGGCTCACTGCAGCCAGCTGGAGCATGCCTGCTGCCACACAGAGGATGATTATAAGGTCTGTCTTCACCACGCGGAAAAGCAGTGTTACAGAAAAGCTGCAGCCCAGGGGATGTATCGCAGAGGGGCAGACGTCCACCAAAGCCTATCATGAGCAAGCCAAATTTTGCACTATAAAAGTGTGCTAATAAAAGCAAAAACATTTCAAGTGCAAATCATTTAAAGTGCTCATCAGGCCAGCCAGAGCTTCAGCACATAGGGGCTGGACCTGAGCAATAAGGCGACATTAAAATCTGTGGCTCAGACTCGGGTATACAAGGTCCTGGGTTAATTCCTGCATGCTTGCCCCCCAAAAAGACTGCCTTCCCACAAGTCCCCCTTTCAGGTTCCTCCTATGCACAATGCTTTCTTCTCAGAGACTTTCCCTGTGAGTTCTAGCTGTGCTGCTCCGGCCTGCAGGATCTCTGCCACTGATATAGTCCCTAGACAGAAAGATCTTGTTGACTAGAGACTGTGGTGGTTGACACATCGTGTCACCTGGAGAGGTGGGAAGCTTGGCTGGATGAGTTGGCAATTCCTCCCCCCCACAGGGCTGGGAGGGCCCGCCCTAGAGTGACTCAGCGCAAAAAGGGTGTAGAAAGGGGTTGAGGAAGGCTCCCGCACACCCCGCTTCCTTGGAGGAGTTCCGAGCTTCTCAGTGCCACTTCCTCGGGGGATCTCCGTCTTCACAGCCGCCTCTTTGGCGGAACTCCGATCTTCACAGCTGCTGCCACTTCCTTGGAAGAGCTTCGGTCTTCACAGTCAGCACAGGAGGAAGAGAGAGAGGCTTGACATGTGGCAGCTGCTGCTTCTCCTCTGCTCTTCACTGTTTTCTGCTGCCATGAATTGCTGCTGTCTGCCTCGGAGCCAGCGGAGTAAGGACTGAAACCTCCACTAACTGTGAGCTAAATAAATCCTTCCTTCATTTTGAGTGTCAGGTATTTGTTCCGGAAGCAAGTGAAAAATAACCAAGACACAGACCAAACAAAATGCTTCACTACAAATGTCTTAATGATTGATAAAAGCCCCACACAGTGCCCCTCCCAAGAGCATTTGTATTTAAACAAATGCCCAGGTAAAACTAGACAGGCTCGTGGGAAGGGCCCCACCGTAGATGACAACACAGCTTCCTTGTTAGATCACACCCAGAAGCTTATACTCCGAAGAGTAGAAGCCCAGATACAGAAAGAACAGCCTGAACGTAACTTTGAATCTATCTTTGCATATTTAACTTTATCCTCTAGAAATATAGATAGTGGCATGATTTTTGTCTGCTATGATGTCTGCATCCTTTCTTGGGACACAGGTGCTTATAAAATAGTAAACTGGCCCCAAGGAGTGAACAGTAAAATAAAGAACCTCAATGAACGAGACTGAAAGTCTAAGGACCGAACGCTGCGGCTGAGCACTGGTGGCCATGACAGTGGCGTCAGCCTCCCCATGACTGCTTCTCTTGTGGCCCCTCCTCCTAGGATGTCTCGTCGTCAGCCCCTGTACTCTGTCCCTGCCAGGAATTTCTTATTGTCTTCACTTCTGCCTCTGTCTAGCCTAGAGTCCTGGACTCATTATAAGTTTTGTCCTTATTGCATTTACCTCTATGATGCTGAATGCTGAT